TCAATAATTTTATTAATCTTCATAAAAGATTTTTTTTTTGTAAAATAAATAACATTTTATAAATTGCTAGCTTTGTTTCTTGATAAATTACTAGATATGTTTCCTGATTGGGATAAAAAGTAGGCTATATTCTTTTTCATCTCGTAATATATATATAACAAACGTTATAGTGATTGATTAAGCTGTTAAGGCGCTAGAAGGTACAAAACAAACAAATTCCCTTTCACGTTTATAGTGTTAGTAAGGATTTGTATTAACTTTAAAAGTTCTATATTGCAAGATTTTGCACATAAGTGAAACTGTCTTAAAAGAAGTACAGACCTTAATTATGATGATACTCTACTTTTTTTATTTTATTATATACTAGTTTATACCTTCTACTGACATAAAAGTAGCCTATGTCTTTATTTTTTACTTGAAAAGTAAATAAATATATTAAATTCTGTGACGATTGGCTGATCTGTTAAGAGTTAACAAGCTTATTTTTATAATTATATTATAACTAGGTATTAGAATTATATATACATAGTATAGTATAGTAAGTAAACAACATTATATTTTCTGGTAGGTATGAGTAGGTACGTGTCTTTCTTATGTATCAATCGAAACTCATTATATTAAATATATCTAAATATTACTTGTAACGTCTTATTTGTATCACAAATGTAAAGACCACAAGAAACGACGTCGATAGCACAAAATGATAAAATCACATATTATTGCGCGGCATTACACAAGCGACCGTAATTTCGCTACGTAAATTACGGCCAAGCTCGCTGCTTGCGTTCAGGCATGCAAAGAATAAACAACCTGTAATAAAAATACAGACAGACTTTTAGGTACAAATACCAATTGAACATTAGTAATATAAAATAATTTCGTATTTGCATAGGTGTCCTGATTACAGTTCACATTAAAATATTCTTTAATAATCTCACCGATATTATTGACATTAATTTTTAACTATACCTAATACTAATACTTAATACCTAAGTATAAATAAATCTCAATAATAATCTCAAAAATAATTTATTACTTACTAATATTTGTATGTCATACGACACATACTGATGATATTATGATACGTCAAATACTACCTAATTAATGCATATAATTGAGATTTCAGTAGTGGAATCATGTTTTTGTAATATTTTTTAATGTTTCTGTGTAAAAGTATGTGCTTGTGATTTTGTAGATATTTCGTAGTTAGTAAGTTCATATTTCGACTATGCCTAATTACATTATTAGAATTTATAACATTAGTGTTACCATATATTACATTTTCATGTAAATTCTTATGGAATAGGAAGAGAAATTGAGTGCTAAAGACACTAGTTTTTCTTTATAATATGATGCTCAATAATATTTCATAGCACATATTAAAAATTTTCCTCTAACTCCTCGCAATATTGATATCAATAGACAAGAATAGTATCAATAAATGAAAAATGTAAACAACACGATTCTCTAAAAGGATTTCTTAAAGTAGGCATTATTTGTATGAATAATTTATTTATAATCTATTATAGCAAGAAGGGGAGTGCGGCGGCGGGGATTGTGGCGTGCGCGGCAGTGGAGCGCACCGCTGCTGCCACAGTCATGGTCAAGGCCTATATTAGCTCCAATGTAATGTCCGATTTATGTATACTTTTTGCATATTTATTCATATACCGTTATTGGATCTGTTTATGTAATAGTCAACTTTGAATGCAGATTTATTTCCATTTTAATATCTCGTTCAGATGAATTAATATACATTATTATAGCTAGAAACAGACTACAATTTCCAAAATTCTCGAATTTTGGAATGCTTTAATGATTTTAAAAATAACTAATTATATAAACTGCATAAAAACACAAATTTGGAATAAAATAAAATATGTAAGACCAAGAAGCTAACAAAGCTGTTAACTGTATTGAAGATAGTGTAGGTAATTATAGGTGGGTATTAACCTATTGAATCATTTTAAAGCTATAATAATATAGATTGCAATTACTGCTAGAGTTTATTTGTCATAATTAACCATTTAATTACACTAATACTGTAGTTTCTAAAAAATATAATGTACGTAATATAATGATACCGTACACCTATCAGTCGATTACTGTACTATAATGTTTTACTATATCTATATAATCTAGTATATTATAAGTATTCTTTTTTGATATATAATTGTAGCATTACTTTATATATTTTTCTGATGTATCACCTACTATTATTATTGTACTTGTATATTATATATCGTATATATATTAGTTTTTCTTCTCTTCGTCCTAGTAGTCCTTCTTTTTTTCTTATTTAATTATCTGATTATGATCACATCTTGGAAATAGGGATAAGAAAGAAAAGCGACACATATTCGTACTCCACCGTACGGATAACACCTACTTCGATAACTCATATACATTAGACATAAGTCAACGTCTTCGTATACGTTGGTTTTCCTTCATCTATTTGAACTGATATTATGAATATATTAGAGGTACATATATATATTTATATGATAAAAGTGGCTTATTTTAATCCTATAATACAATACTAATCATACTAGATATTTTTTAATGGATGATAATGGAATGGTAACCCCACCCGCGCTATCGGTATATACCGGCGGGGCACCAGTGAAGGATGATAGGTGAAGATGAAGTAGGTCAGTTAGCCCACCGTGACGAATTCAAAAAGAATTTTTCACGATGGTTTCCAGGGGGAACCACGTGGAGGTCGACCTAATAAGGCATATTGCTAGCAATGGGGCTGTCAAACTCCATTGCTAACAATCCCTTTCCCCCCATGCTAGGTATTAGGTAAAAGTAGTAATTACTTTTAAAGTTTAGTAGGTTCCTTAAACCTATACTTCATATATATAACATTTAGTACACCAAATATATATTTACAAATATGTATGATAAAGCATCAAATTTTTCTATTGTTATCAATATATGGCCGTGTGGTCCCGGCATAGAATAGGCCACCCCTTCCTATACTGTGGATGTCGTAAGAGCAGACTAAGGGAGAGCAAGGGATGGGCAGCAGCGTCCCTCTTAAAACATCTCTAAAACCTGACTATGGTTGCCGACCCGCCTGCCAAACGTGGCAACAACTGGCAAAACCCCTCAAGGGGAGGTTTATGTTTAGCAGTGGACAGTTAAAGGCTGATATGATGAATTATAACAATGTTTTCTTCTCGATTTAGTGTCATCATATTTAGCATACTCACCTATATACAAATGAATATCACAACCAATATTAAATATGTTTTTATGATAGGAATACGAGTAAGTATGAGCATATTTATAAAGAGTTAAATGTGTCATCTACCGTTTAACATATGACAGTTTTATTAGCAAATATGCAAAAATATTTCTAAAATATTTATATATTATTAATCGTAAACCACAAGCATAGCGCTTCTATTTATTACTTAAATAAAGCTTAAATATAAATATTTAAGCTTATATTTAAATATTTATACGGTGTATATATAGAATAGCTTTAACTTAATGAGTATAAAAAGACTCAGATTACTCTAGTGATTTACTCTTAGGTATTTATCTTAATAAAAGTATAAGTAAGTAAGTACTCTTTTATCTTAGGTAAGTAACTATTAGCGTGCGGCTATAATTTACAATAATTAACTATATTTATAGATATGTTTAACATTAATTGAATATTGACTTTATATATTTTGTCTTGCTTATAAACATTATCTTCTTCAGGTTGTCAGCAACACGTGCTTAATTGTTTCGGTTTGTAGAGTAAGAATGTCAGTAAAATTTGTGTTACAAGAGATACTCGTATAGACATGTATTTTACCAGAAAGAAAAAAAAAACATGAGGGCAAATTAAGTATCAATTTACTAAATGTACAACCAAAAAATATATCTATTACAGGTGCTGTTGCAAATCAAAATAATAAATCTCTAAATATGACTTGTTTCTAACGTATAAACATAAAGTGCTGATTAACCTGCAGATAATATGCCGTAAATGTCAGATACTACAAAAGGATTCGGATCCATTTATCTCATATACGTAAACTGGTACTTGATTGAAATCTCTATGGCAAGCAAAAATGTGGGCGTCTCAAAGAAGTCTGATGACGTAGCGTTGGCAGAAACAGGCAGCACAGGAAAGGTGTGGAGACAGAAAAAAAAACACTAAATATAAAATAATTTTGTACCTGATGTATATAACTAGCTGAAACTCGTAGGTTGCCTAAAATACAGAATTTCTTGGATTACCAGGGGAAATACTATTTGTCGTTACATATTTTTAACGCGTTGTTAATATTGATATACTTACTAGGGTTAAAAATAGTCGTGACTTCTAATATATAATGATTGTGACTTCTAATATAGAATTATTAATCTTAATAATTGAATCTTAATGTAATATAATAGTATATTAATATATTTTGGCTACGACGATGAATTTGTGGGAACAAGGTTTTTTAAAATAGGAGATATGAACATTAACTTTGTAATTTTAAGTAGAATTACATTTATACGAGACGCAAATTACAATTTTTCTATGAAGAAATGTTCCTCGCTTAGGACAAAAACAATGATTTTTGATCAAAATGTTTGACGCGATCGGTTATTTAAGTTGCAATGACATAAGCGAACCTTGTTCAAATTGAAGATAAACAAGCACTAAAGTGTGTCGAACATTCATGAGTTTCTTATCTTTTTATGTTCTATATCTCAGACCAATGTCAAAATTATTCAATGGAACTATATATAAAGTATATATCTATAAAGTTGTATATAATCTTTATATGCATCAAAGTAGGATAATATAAAAGAATTATGGTATTCTGTCGGTTATTTCACGAGCTTTGTCATGAATTGAAGTAAGAATACTAATATAGTAAGGATACTTTACGAGTAGTTTTAATGTATCTTATACATATTTAGACACATATTTTTTATATCACTTAAATGGTAGACAAGCATACAATCCGTTTGATGGTAAATGGTTAGTTAAGTACTGTACTTACTGTGGTCTATGGACGCCTGTAATATCAGGAGTGTCACGCGTGCATTTCCGACCCTGAAGAAGATTTAATAATGTTATTTTAGAAGAATCCCATACTGTACTGTAGTCTCTAGGAAATACCTAGACAGGCAGCTAATTCTATAACCTGTGTGTTCGCGGGAAAAAACATAATGAGCGACCATATTTATTATTTATAAACTAGTGATCTGTCCCAACAAAAGGTAGATAGATAGAAAGTTTTTTTTATTTTATATTACCTTTAATAGGTAAATTTTTGATACCTCTGGCTACATAACATCTCTATTTTTTAAAATAATATATAGCCTATATAACTCGCTGATAGTGTAGCTTTCTATTAATTAAAGAATTTTTGAAATCAATTAAGTAGTTTTGAGTTTATACAAAATTATAAACTTAAAATTATTCAAATAATAAAATCTTCCCTCTTTATAATATTAATATACATAAAGAGGGGGGAAAGGGATTGTTAGTAATGGAGACTGAGAATCCCATTGCTAGCAATATACCCAACTAGGTCGACCTCCTCGCGTTTCCCCCTGGAAACTATCATGGTTAATTCCTGATGAATTCATCATGATGGCCTAACTGGCCTGTTTTCATTCGCATCTATCACCCTTCACTGGTGCTCCGCCAGCGTATCCCGTTAGCGCAGGCGGGGTTACCATACCATTTTCACTCATCAAAAAAAAAAATACATAGAGATGAATAATTTGTCATAAAATATTTTCAAACGCTGAGTCAGGTTTTGTAACTTATTAGTTCTTAAGAATAATTTGCATGTTTCCAGTTTATAATTATGAGAACAGTGCCCCCATTCAATCTTTGCACATAAAGAGCCAGACACAAGGGCTGCGAATCGCTGTTAATCCATCAGACAGCTTTTGTTACCTTACAAAAGACATGTGTAGGCGTCTTAACAAAGCAGTTCGCATAATCTGTAAAAACCTTGATTCTGATATACTTGTACTCTAGGTACATGTGAAGGTTAAACTTAATTATTGTGACAGAAGTCTCCTACGATATATTAAAATTTCGTTGATTTATTGAAGTACACGGACTACCATATTAGTCAGAATTACAATGGTTTCAAATATGGACGCCACCAGTGTATTGTTTAATATCTTCTAATGCAATAGAATTAGGATTAAACCGATTAAATCGATATTGATTTGATTTATTCAAAACGGCCAAAAAATCATTTATGGTTTGATGTGATTTATTTAAAAGTAGCCTGCCTAATAAATAATAAACAAAAATAGATGATAGTATCTTGTCATTGATTACTATTTAACATCTGTGAATATTTTGTCATAAATTAAGCAAAATTTGCTTGTCTAAAATATATTTACCCAGATCTTTTGATCAAGTGATATTTATTGTAAACAACAAAGTAAACTATTTATTGAAGGTACGGTTATCCATTTATACGGATCATTAAAAGGCCAATAAAGTTATCCAATCACCTGTATCCGTAGTTTGCTAGTCCGTTACTTTACACAGATCCTTAATTAACTTCCTTGGATTAGATTAATATGTGTTTAGATTATTTTTAAATGGATAACAAGTTCAAAATCACTGTCTATTACATAATTTTTTTTTGTGTAAAGGTAGTGAAATATTTGGTTAGCTGTTAATTTATTTTATAAGACAGTATACTTCGACTGTTTCGCATTTCAAAAGAAAAAAACTGAATGCTTGTAAGATTATTTTTTTGTTCGTCTGTCTTTCCGTCTGTCAAGATACTTTTTCTTAAGAACGCGAGGAGGTAAGCTGAAATTAATATCAAATACTCAAATCTATAATCGTTTGAAACTGGGAAAAAATCAAATTTCTAATTCAACATGATCAAACTATGTAGCGTATATTTTGACATTTGAACATGGGAACCCAACCTTATAGGGTACTTCCCGTTGACCTAGAATCGTAAAATTTGACAAAAAGCAATATCATACAGTATAAGTAAAAAGAAAATACTCAGTAAATCATAAATTTATAGTAAATTTTTTTCTTCAATTATTATTTTTCTTTCAGTTATAAATTATACAGAATTCTCGGTGCGCAAGTTCGACTTGCAATTACCCAGTTTTTTAATAATTCAATTTGATTTAAATATTAACTCAATAGTGATGAGCTAACAAGGAAAATGACTGCGGACTTCAAAAGAATTTAGTCTGTGTATTTGTATATAACTGTACTTGATACTTGTTTAAGTCGCTAAGATTTTTTTATCTTCCAGAAATTAATAATCTTTTGACATATATTATATATTTAAACATATATATATGAATATATATATATATATATATATATATATATATATATATATACATTCGTTATTTGCTACGTTATAATAAAAATTTTTCGTGTTCTTGCAGTTTTTACATGATATTTTCGAGCGGCTGTTATGGAAATACATATTTTTTTAATGAATCTTTATCCGAATCTAGTGAAAACATCGCCATATAGATAATTGATCTCTGTAAAATTTGCCGTACGTGTTGCTATTATAACTACTGCGGTCGCGTTTAGGTATCAGTTTCGTTGCGGGATGTGTACTATTTTTTAATAGCACGCTAAATCGGATTGTAGGTCAGTAGGCACCGTTTTTTATGAGTATTTGTTGTCTGGCAGTCAAGACTCTACATACGAGTAAGTTTGCGGAAGAACACCCTTAAAATGGAATGGATATTTATGTACACGTCCTTTTATCGATATCCTCGCTTATTTTGAAGAGATTCTGTCGATTCCTATTTAAATAGATCTCGTGTTTTTGTTAAGTTATTACTGGACTTCTGAAATCTTAAATTATTCTTCTATCTAAATTACAAGTTAGTAACAAATCTGTTTATATAGTGCCTAATCTTTATCCTGGCATTCAAATAATTAACAGACTAATGAATGATGGCCTATTACCACGCAAAACACGTGTCAATTCGAAAGCGTGGGGTCAGTTAACGGTGGGGAGTTAATCTTTACTGGTACCTATATACTGTAAAATCTTCCTTTACACAATATTTAAATATATTTCTATGTAATAGTGTTTAGTATAAGTTATTAGAGGCTGTATAGTCTATATGATATTGTTTATGGATTATACTCCAGCCATAATGAGTAATAGTTTTTTTTTTGTACAACTTAGAATGGCAAACAAGCTGACAGCCTACCTGATGGAAAGTGGTAACCGTCGCCTATAGACATGAGCAGTACCATGGACATAACAGAGTAATAGTTCTAAATAACAAGTAAAGGTAACTTAGATCATGTGAATAACTGGCCTAGCATTTTTAGTCTGTGACTAAGCATTTGTCTGAGCTTACTCCGCTCATACGAAAAAAATTAATAATTATTTAAAGGTGAACTCTGATTACTAGACTGTACTCATCTGGAGCGGTATCGCTGGATACGCGCAAGAGTGTAATAATAAACTTTGTAAGAGTGTTACAAAATGTATTATACTCATACTATATATTACATATTAACCTAGTTTTAATTAGTTTTAGATGTATTTGTCATTTGGTTTTCAATAGCCTAGCCTCGTGAGGCTCTGCTAAAATACTTTGCTCCTTTCTTTAAAAGTTTTCCACTTGGGCATAAAAATGTTATGGATTTTTTTTAACAGGTTCGTAGTAGTAGCTAAGAAGAATTACGTATGGAGGTGATTACCTACTTACTTTGTTACTTCTTTGTTTCAGTATAATGATTGTTTGAGAAGACACTCAAAATATAAGGTAGCCAAGCTTAGTTCAATAAAATTTTATTACATCATTTATCATTAAATCACAAAGAAAACAAAATATGGTTAAATAACATTTTTTTTTGTAAATAACATCAGCCTTATTAGTTACTTGTTTAATAAAGTGAATAGTCGAAATTATTTGAACTCTTAATTAAAATAATGTTAATGCGATTGAAAAGGAAAATATTTAATTAAATCGTAAATATGTCTAATATTTCAATAATTTGACTGACGTATCAAGATAAGCTAATTAATCTGAAGGTAAGAGAATCGATTATTTAAAGCTATTAATTAATAAAATACTTATCAGTCACAAAACAGCATTCGGTGATGATATATATATATATATATATATATATATATATATATATATATATATATATATAATCTACTTTAAAATCAACATTTTATGTATGTGTTCCAATCAGAATGGTTAAAATTGCTTATAATTTATCTCTAGGCGACAGTTAGGTACAACTTTCTTACAAGCGAGACATAGATCTGTTTGTCATTTTAGTTATTAAGTATACAAAAATTTTGTTACAATAGTTTACTATTTTGAAACCGAAAAAAAAAATAATTACCGTTATTTCCAATTATAATTATTTACAACATTATTCCTAATGTCTAAGGTAATAAAATAGACTATGTTGATGGCATGTGAATTGGTACAACTTCTTCTTTGCAATATAAGTTTACTAATCATTACCAATAAATAACTGTAATTAAATACCTATTTAATCCACTATTTTATAAATTATTATAAATATTTAATGAAATAGATAGATAAATTAACAACTAAATTCATACAATGAAATAAAGAAGCTTCACAGTTATAAAAATAAAACACACAAGATAAAACGAAATAAATATGAAAATAAATAAGATAAATAAATAAGTAAGATAAAATTGAAATGACTACCAATTTGAAGGTGTCAAGATTTTTATATAATGTTGTTTTTATATTCCGTTCTATATAATCCTTCTTTACCGCCTTACCATCGTGAACGATTTGATTTCCTAGTTCTTCATGACGTATCCTCTTGTTCAACAAAGTCTCTGATCCTCAAAATCACTTCTTACTCGTTTACGTGCTAAGCAGATTTATGGTTCATGCTGCTAGATTGTAGAATTCTCTACGGATGCCTATTCGTGTGAATCGATCTATAAATATTTTTAAGAGTAGACTAAAAGAGCATCTTCTATCTTTATAAACCTATATTTATTTATTGGTATGTGTAGTAATATTTATATGTGTAATATGTATATGTAAGTATATATTTGTATGTATATATATAAATATATATATGTTTACTGGAAGAGAACTCTTTTAGAATTAAACTTGTCTTTGTACATTTCCTTACCTCTGTCATATTTTTATGTATTATCAATATGTACAATAAAGTATAAATAAATAAAATAAAATACACAAATATGTTTTCGGCATGTGTGTCGCAGTGACACAAATAGGCCACAGCTCAGTGATTGTTTTGCTTAAATGTAAACCATTTATTTTCAGCTGCAGCCTGAAGTTAGGCTACACGGACGTATGCTACCAACCTAGAGTGTCTTTTGTACGTATACGCTTAGTTCTTTTAATTAGGGTCTTGTTACTTACTAAAAGTTTTTTACCTGTCTCTATGACAGTTTTTCTATTATATTACATCACAGGCTCGATTTCAAGTGTATTTTATCCCTACAACTTGGAAACTAAATGGTAGCTTACATGCAACTTTGTTACAGAAGAGCCTTTTTCTGCAAGCGCTCAAGTGCTTCCTGCTAAAGTTTTTCTGAATTAGAGTAACTGCACGGAGTTATTAAAAAAGTTGAAAATATTTCTTCAGATTTGGTTATATGTACACAATACTTACTGTGTTATAGATGACCCTAGGTTGCTGTAATTTCTTTGAATGGCACAAGTCATCCTTTTAAGGAGTATTTTATTACTGAAATTATTTCCAATAAATCATACATAGATAACACGATAAAAGATTTTGAGCTTCTTATACTAATATAGAGCATGTACTTGTCAAGTTATTGTGGCCTTTTAATTTTTTACCGTTTTTCGATTTCTGTATTTGTCTAAGGCTATTTTCGACATTGCCATTTTAAAATTACTTAATAATATAAAATAAACGGTAGAATAAACAATTAAAGCCTCAACCTTGTTACAAGTAGTCAAGTAAGTACGCCATTCTGAGCGAAAATGCGCGGCCCGTTGGTCGTGTAACACGAACGCTAGGCCAAGGCCGTGTGACATAACGCGTTACGTGTCGCCCCGTTAGCTGCGTCTGCGCACCGCACCGCTAACCGTTGATGTTCCATGTTGTATGTTTTCTTTAGGTTACGTTAATTATTACCTATCAATATGTAATTGGCTAGATATTAATTGACTTGATTATCTAGTCAATTACATATTGATATTATTGGATAGTAATGAACAATAATATTTTATTAGAATTCGTTGCGGTATCGATCATTTTATTTACCGTTATTTTCTAATGTGTCGATGAATAGTATAATTGCGAACGATATTATATTGTTCATTATATTAAAATTACAAGTATAATGTGAGTTTGTCTGTTATCGCTTGGCGATTTACAGGTTTTAAAAACCTTTATTAAATTTAACTAACACGTATTACTTAGCATAAAGAAGGAGATAAATTAGTTATTATTCCTGTCATGCGTTTGAAGTATATGCAATATTTTTATTAAACATTTCAAGATAGGCATATATTGTATGTAGTATTTTATAAAAAATATGTTCAATGATTATTCGTGAATTTATTTACATCTACATTGATTCATATGTTTTTGTACCTTACAATACAATACAATATTTTTTTAAATTGAATTAAAAGCAACCTATACAATTTAATAATTATATTTAACAATCTATGGGCACAAAAGATTCAATAATATGATTCATGACGTATTCTTATGCAGTAATATTCCTCATCGTTAGTTGTTTGCGCCAATTAAATGTTTTCCATACTTTATTTAATATAAAAACCTATGATTTTTCCTTATAATATGTTAATCAATAAGGTTAACTACATAAGTTTAAATTAATTTAAAATATATTTAATAGATTATTATAATTTAATTTATTATGTTGGTAATATAATATAATTATAAAATTGTATTGTATTAAAAAATAGATCACCCTTTTTTATAACATTCATATAAATTGTTGAAACTATAATACACCTACACAACTTATGCAAATAATATTACGAGTATTAATATTATTAATTTTATTGTATTTATGTAATAGAGTGCAAAATAAAAAGATATATACCCAGTAAATTGTCCATCAGGTGGGTCGTTAGCTTGTTTGCTATTTTTAGTTACAAAAAACATATTTATAATATATATCAACATACCGTATACGCGTTGTAAGAAGCGTAACTTGGTAGCGAACTCATGAAACGGGACTGTCCAATACTTGGAAAATAGCGTTGCAGTCAGTCAGGGATAAATCTAGTAAGATTATTGAGAATTGTTTGGAGTGTAGACACTGTAAACATTTTTTGTATATTCAAACATACAACCAAATCAGTAAAATGCAAGGTAAAATCAAGTTATTATTAGCAGCATTTTAGCCAAATTAAATCAACATTTAAACAGAAGAATGTGTCATATTAGTAAAGGAGAAAATATTCTTTACTTTAGAATACCTTCTTAAAATAATTACAATTATGTGAAATTTACATCCTTAGAAATACCTTACTTAGGTCTAGTGTTGCAATGCACGTATTAAAAACTTTTCAAATACCATACGAAGGCACTTATAATGCACTTATTATTATCACAAGCCTAATATATCTAAACAATGTACTCATACTTGAGCGAGAGCGTAATCTTTATTCTTATAGTTAGAAACACAGTTAGCTGGGAGGTCGTAATTTAATACTATTGTGGTAGACACCTACTTAATCTTAGTATGGCAATGTCCTCTTATAATGTCTGCATGTTGACTTATACTAAAAGAAGTAACCATTATAAAAATTAATAAAAACAATTGGTTTATAATATAATTGCAACGTTTATATTACAATTTTTCCTACTGTTTAAGTCACTGAAAATATAGATTACAAATAAAAAAATAATCCATTAATAGTTCTTTCGTTTAATAAAATTAATTTTATCACGATGCAGTTATTTTGTTAAACAAAATATCATTAATATTATAGATCTTACACTAGCACTTTAATCAATCTGCTACTTTATGATTGTACATACTTATCCTTTACAATTTGACATTTTCTCTATGAATAGTTTTAATCAAGAATAATACAAGCATTATAAGTGGGCACATGAATTATGGTCATGCTTTGTATGTCTCACTTGAAATCTTGAAGGCCCTGTTCAATTATCGCTTGACCTTGCCTCACAACAGTAGATGGATCAATTTGAATTACTTTTGTTTGTGCGGAATGTAATGTGTTAAATTCAAGGCGATGTTTTATTGTATGATATAATTTTGGTGGTGTGGTAAATTCTAATAATAATAGACGTGTTTCGCTAACGACACTACTAAAACATTGGTTAAGTGGAAGATAAAGAGGCAGCGTACTAGGTTTGAAAAGATGTTTTAACCATTTTCTTTGTTATAATTATCATGACCATATTATATAAAAAGTGCAATAGTATATTAGACAGATAAATAATTTTATGTTATCTTCTTACAAATTATAATCGTAAAAGACTAGTTATTAGGATTTTTAAAGCTTTTATTTTAAATAACTTCCTTTATTCGATTTTGATTCAGTATGCTATTTATATCATGTTTTTCTCAAGCTTTTAATAAATAACATCGAATGCGCTAGAATTTTGTGCAATTCTTCTATGTAGTTAGTTACACCGTCATAAGTGTTTCAAATGTGAAGCAGCAATGTAGTCATTTTATTCTGATCAGAAGAGTGAGGTCATTTCCATAGGAATTAGTAGTCTTTCATTGATTATCCAAGTCATGTTGAATCTGTAAATAGACAAACAGAGTGATAAAATGTCTTACTGTTGTTGGCGATGCACGGGCTAGACCAGTAGCGGTAAACAAATTTAAATTCCTGGTTTGTTTATTTTCTCTTTTATTTTCATGGTATCACCTGCATTTGAACCCGAACTTGCATTCTTAGAATTAATATTTCAGTTATTGTGTTTATAAAGTAACATAATATTAACTTTTCTAGAGTTGTTTAAAAAGTTGTTTGTATTAAGAATGCTTGAATTTTACACTAAAACAGCTTCGTTTGTTGTTGTTGTGTTGTACTTTTTATTAGACTGGTGATTTTTTTTTTCATTATTTAAATACAGCTTATCTATCCAAATGTCGACAAAAAAGTAGAAAATTTTATTTAAAAATGTATAGTATGTACCATAAGAATCATATAAGTATCTGTATAATATAGTGATTACTTGTTCTGTGACCTGTATGAGTATGTTGTATGTTATACCGAATTGGCTTATGACATCCTTAATATGTTCATTTTTGAGGACTAGGGCATTACGACTGTTGTTTGACACTGTCTTTGTCCTGACAAAGACTTATTATATTTGGATTTTATTTTATTATTATTACATTTATTATTATTTTGACTTATTTATATTGGGATGAGATGAAATTACACCGAATATACGTGAAATCTCGTATAGTCCCGGTATAAAATGGATCGGCCCTTTTTTTCCTGTGGATGCCTTAAGAGGCGACTAAGGACACTTAATAGTTGAGAGATGGGCAGCAACGTCCCTCTTAAATCTTCACCAAAGCCTAACTGCGGTTGTCCACTCGCTCGTCAAGCGTGGCAACTACTGGCAAAACTCCTCTAGGAGAGGTCTATATTCAGCGGTGGATAGTTAACGGCTGATATGATTATGATAGATTAAAGTTATTTTATGGTTACGCTTTATTTTGCATCATAAAATGACAAACAACACGACTATATATCATTAGATAAAGTAGTAAACGTCGCTTATAACTAAGGACAGAACTATGAACATTACATGATATGATTTGGATTTGATTTCAAATCGATTATTTTAAAATCGCTTGTTGAGTATCCCATCTTTTAGCCTAATAAATCGAATGGTATGCAATTAATGGCAACGTGATAACTACTAAGGCAGTCTTGAAACCTGTTCTCTAGTATCTGAT